CACTAATGTCCTTAATCCTTTTGTATTTCTAAAGTTTCCTTTGCTCTGAAACATTACAGACCAGTTTCACAAGCATGCACTTTCACTCAAAAGGATTATTCTTGTTTGTGGAACATGAAAAGAGTCCAACAAATCCTTCTCAGTGCAATTTTGGGTTGCCAACTCTTTAAAATAATAAAAAGTAAGTGTATCATAGCTGATGCTACAGGTTGGAAGGTTTTTTTCTCCACACATTATTAACTAAGACGGAAACTGAATCTCACTTGTTTTCCAGCACAATCTCCGGCAGCCACACCATGCTGGTGGGCAGACGAAGCATTTCGATGCCGTCAAACTCTGTCGTATTCCAGGAGAGCCGGTAGTCGTTCCACGTCTATCACCACACACGAACACAGAGAGTCAGAGATAAAGCATTTAGAAAGAAAGGTTTGCCTTTAATGTAAAGTGAAAGGGTAACTTATACTGTCATTTACTTACATGATCTATCCAAACATTCGTCAGCAGTGTCTCGTCTACTTCTTTCTACAAATGAAGGAGACCAAATCATACAGATTAAAAGAGGACCAACTATTTGTCCTGCCCTTCTCTGATTTCTTCACCTTCCCCCTAGTATTAAAACAATGATTTAACTGTTTCAGTTATTGTTTAACTATATTTTATTGTTTTATCTGTACTTTCTTTCTGTAACCTGGATTCATTTTTGAATCAGATTTTAACCATTTGAATAATCTCCAACTCTGAAACTGAAAAGAGTCTTTTTTGAAAATGTTTCCAAACATAAACCCACCTTATAAACTATTCAGGATGGAGGCAGGTGGAGGGCATTTATTTTTAATTACATATGCTTATGTTTGATCTTATGCACCTTTAAATCCTGGGTGAGACTATGTTACATGATAGTTAAAAGGATTATTTAGAGAAAAAAAGAAAAAGAAACATATGTGGTGACTCAAAGTAAAAACATTAAAAGCATTTTTTTTTGGTTTCTGCAGGACAAAGTATCAGAGGTAGGCTGCATGTTGAGCTTCCCTTAGAAAGGATCCTTTTCCAAACAACACACACACACACACTCTGTCTGTACCAGAGAGATGAGGTTGGAGAGAGTGAGCGCGAGATAAACGTCGACGGCGTCCTGCTGCCTCTTAACTGGACGCAGCTCTTTGTTGTATCCTCGCTCTTTAATCAGGTAGTTGATCAGACGCTCCTCCTCGTTCCTGCCCCAGCACTCTGACACACATTTTAACACACGTGAGTTCACATTTAAGTCAACAAAACATACATATTTTTTCAATTAGACACAATAAACTACTGGAGTCATGAATCCACAAAACCCACCTAGAACCACAGCAAACGCTTGCAGGTTTAAGACCATAAATAATCCCCAGCTCAATACAGCAAAATGTGTGTGTTATCGCACACCATATCTCCTTTTGGTCAGCTATATACATCCTCCTCAGTACATAATGTCCACCTCCAATGTCAGTTCACAACTTGTGCAGGGCATGTAGCAAGAACACAAATCAATAAATGTCAATATTGGAAGAAGTACTGCAATACCAAAATTTAAAGTCTGTTAAAGGTAAAACGCCTGCATTCAAAATCTTTATGTAAATATATATATTTACATATAATATATAATAATGTAACAACAGATCCTATTTTGCTGCATTATGTTAGATTATTATTATTGGTAATATTGTAGCTGTCCGTAGGCGAGCTCATTTTATTCATTTGTATTGTTGGATGGTTTATAAGCTTATAAAATCTTCATTCGCAAAGTAACACATACTAAATACATGTAGTGGAGTAAAAAGTACAATAATTCATAGGAGTAGGAGTATAAAGTAAAAGTAAAAAAAATAAAGTACAAGTAACTATACATTTATCAGTGGTGGAAAGTAAGTAACGAGGTACATTAACTCAAGTACAATTCCTCCTCATATGATATACTGTATACAGTACATGCCAACAGCGAGTGAAAGAAATACAACTAAATCTTATTTTAAGTGTCCAAGAAAGCAGATATTAACTGATTTAATGTAAAAGAACATTCTTCATTCAGTCCAATTTTCACCTTGAAATCATGTGTTCATGTTTATGCGTAAATATACTGAATAAATAAAGCATTCATTGGCACTCACTCACACACACAGAGGATAAAAACAGTGTCTGAGTGTGTGTGAATACTTTCATGCCGGTCATATTTCAGGGTTTGATGGCAGCTGCTCTGTGGTTCAGAATACTCCACCAGCCATCTACACTGCGAGTAACACTTCTAGTTCACCACACAGCCGTGTTGGTTTGTTTTTATTCTCACTTGTATTGACTTTATGAAATCCAGTCAGGGTCCACTGATCCGATACGCCGGAGGTTGTTATCTTATTCTTCATTTAAAGGACTAAAGTAGCGATGCAATTATCCGATTGTTTTCACAATTAACTTATTAATGTTTTGGTCTTTAAAACATCATAAAACAGTTCAAGTGTAAAAAGTTGTAATAGTGAAAGTTCCTAAAGCGCAGGCGGACATCTGAAAACAGCTTGTTTTGTCCTACTGTAAACCATTTATATTACATTTGAGAAGCTGAAAGCAGATTTATTTTTTTAGGCATTTTTCCTTTAAAAAATTATTTTTTGTTTTATCGATTATCAAAATTGTAACAGATGAATTTTCTGTCATTGACTAATTAATTGTTTCAGGGGCAATGACCCCCATAGATTTTATATAGTTTGACTTAGATGAGCTGCAAACACAACTATTTAATGGAGAGTTTTTTGGTTTTTTTTTTTTTTACAGAAGATCTATGTTTCAGCATAAAACTGAATATTTACAACTGATACCAAATGCCTGCAGCTTTAATACTAAAATAGTCATTATGGGCTTTTAAAAATGCACGTCAGCTGAACCTTTTTTAACGTGAGAACTCAAAGTTTGGATACTTTTTACAACAATCTGTAGGTCAAATTTAAAACAACCAGTAACTCACCAGATGAGAGCAAAAGAGCAGGAACACGGCACCCAAAGCTGCACACTGAAGCTTCATGGCTGACTGGAGGTGAGAAGTCCTGCGTCCTTTTACCCACCGACCTTCTGCCAGAAGACTGAGACTGAGTGACAGGCAGCAGCTGCAGAAACACAGAGGAGAGAAAATAGAAAACACACAGAACAGGCCTGAACAGCCGGCTGCCTCCACTCTGTACGGGAACAGAGAGACAGGCGGGGGGTCAGAGACAGAAATAACATCACATCAAAGATTTGAACTTGTGATTTAGATTTACACTAAATCTGTTCAATCTCACAAAAAAACATATCTTACAGGGTTATTTTTTCCACAGAGAAGACATTAAACCACTGAGCCACAGCAAGTGTTTTTAGGTTTTACAAGTGAAAACACTTTTATATTAAATATAACCCTTGTTAATAGTCACTCTTTCCCTGATCTCTGAAATGCAACCATCCCCAAACTGAGCTATTAACTAGTCACCTGGACTAATTTTTAAACTCTGACATAATTTAACAGATTTTTTGTGGCCTTAATGTAGAAAGGGAGAACCTAAACACTAAAAACACGGTTGATAATAGAAAGAAGTAACTGCCAAAATACTTTGCAAACCATCCGTCTGTGTTTAAAACGTTGTTAATATTACAGACAGATTAACTAAGCAGTATGTAAACTAGGTGCTTTTCTGAGTGATGATCTGCCTCTTTAAATTACAAAATATCTATTCTGGTTGTTTACCTGTGCACTGCAGTTTTGTTTTGTTTGGTCTGCATTATATGATATGTGGTCTAGACTAAATAAATCTGAATCTGAGTAATGAGTGTTTTTCCCCAAGAAAGAAAATCCAGGATTAGTTTAGTTTTTAGCAACCAATTGACCATACAGTTATGAAAGTGGTTAAATAATACTAATTGTTTGTTTCAAAAAATTAAACAATATCAAACATTATATTCTCTAACCAAAAAAATAAGGTGTAGACTGACTGTGCCTAGATTTAATACTTAACAATTATGATAAAGACAAATAATCTATAAATATGTAAATATTGATCATTTTAAAAGTTTAACTGCTGAACGCAAGATGCGTCCTACATCACTGAAAAGTCAGTTCCCAGTGCCTGTGCGCTGGAGACTTCACGTCAGTTGCACGATTCGTTCCAAACAAATCACAAAATAATAGTTGGACGTCCTCGGATGTTAAACTACGAATGTGTAAACTCTGCACATCCACCATTCTGCACACTGAAGGCCAAACATCTAAGTGACAGACGGTGACGGTGATCCTGCAGAACTCAAGGAGCAGGGTTGCCTATATTGTGGTTTTTTAAGTTACGTTATTTTGATCACAGTTTTAAGAAGTGTATCCTCATGGTGGCAGCTGCCTCACCTAGAAATGTTCATCTTTCCTGTTTAACAAAGTACTTTCTTACTGTTGACAAACAGCAGCCTCATCGCTGAATCTGCACAACAAATTCAGTCTGATATATTCGAACTTTGTACATGACTTTACATAATAACCTTAAGACTCCATGATATCTGGTCTGTTGGTCGCCTCGCCGATCAGAAAGCTGCAACTGTTTTTTATTGCCATCACAGCAGGTAGGAAGAAAAGGAAAAGTTTAAGTTTTGTTTGTCATTTCAACTGTAAGAAATAAGACACCAGAGAAAATGCGCATCATGATCTTACTTGACGTCACTGGGTGTTCCTGATACATTAGGTCACCCTCATATGATTCTTCACAAAATATTCATCAGGAACTTAACTAAGAATGACAATTTAGTTCATAGTTGGAGTTTCCTTATTGTTCCTATATCCTGTTCTCTGATGTTGTTCCTTTGGACAAAATTGTGTCAATGGGGAGTTTGCGGACTCAAGCAGATCTACTTTAGGGAAGGTGACATAAAATAATACATGCATTTTCAAGAATGGGCGGCCAGTCAGCATGTAACAAAAATGTATTATACAGGTCTGACTGACTATAGAGGGCAACACACTTACATTTAACTTGGACTTACATACAGATCCATCATTTATTTACTAAACATTACAAACACAGACACATACAAGACACGCAAAGACTTCAACATGACCTCCACTTTAAAATACACGTTTAGTTTAGTATATTTCATTGTGTTTAATTATAAAAAAGTTCTATACGTTTAAAAATTAAGATCATAGTCCATAAAGTGTTTTTAAAATCTAGAATCGCTGAGCGTCCTCAGAGCGACAGGTTGACGTCGCTCTTCATCTTGCCGCTGCTGAGGCTGTGGATCATGGAGATCATCGCAGAGTGTTTGTTCAGCTCGTCCTCTTTCTGCTTCAGCTTCACCTCCAGCTGGCTCTTCTGCAGCTCCAGAGACGACGCCTGGAAAACGGGAAAAGGTTCAGTTCTCTGCAGCTTTGCGTCGAGGCATGATTTACCTGAGTATTTATGCCCGACGTGATGAATACAGGACACTTTTTAGTAACAACCCAAAACTTTTTAAAAACTTATTTACTGGTTTTATGTTTTTTAATCTCTTTGTTAACACTAAACAGTTTTACTGCTATGTGTATACCTTTTTACACATTTCCCACATAGGACAATAAAGACTGAATTCATTTCACTTGAACTTAAACAAATGCTTCAAAGAAAACTTTTGAAAAGTTTTGAACCAACCATGATTGACAGAATTTATTCAGACTTTGGAGCGTTTCCTCCTGCATCAGTTGCTGTAGTTCAGTAAACAACGGTTTGTTAGAAAAGAGAACAAAATCAAGCCAACTACAGGAAAAAAAACAAACACACTGTGTCAGTGGTTTTCAAAGTCTGGGACTGTGGGCCTCCCCTCAGACAAAGAAAAAGACGACCCCCTCACACCCTTAGTTTCACTCAATTCCTGGATAACTAAGGATCACGATGTTGTAAATTCATCACACAGACACTCAATTGAGCCAAGATGACCTAATATTTCTGTTTGACATGACTTCAGACTACACCAAATACATAACAAAAGGTCTGTCCTGAGGCCTTTATTAGTTTCTGACTCTGACAGAGTCCATTGCTTCCCCAAAACTACTGTATCTCTGAACACTCTCTTTAACCGAATCACACACATTCAGGCTATTCTATGTGATCTCCTTTTGATAACTAATATATTATTTCTAGGGTTGTCAAACGAAAAAAAAAATTTTTAATTTCTATTATTATTATCATCATCATCATTTATCAAAGTCTGTATTAACAATGACTGCAATTCTTACCAGTGTGTCTTGATTGGAAATCAAATTAATGCAAAGAAAGTTAGTTTCTGAACTTTTTAGATTAATTTGATTATTTCATATCTAAAGATGTGCAAAGAGGTAAAACAATCATTGTCTTCAGAAATATAGTCTTCCTTAAGCTTGCTTTCAAAAAATTCTACAGCAAAAGTGCATGTACAAAATGTACACACATTATTATAAAGTGCATTTCTCCATAGCTTCATTATTTTTGAGTTCATTTGAAACCAATGAGACAGCATTTGCTTCAAGTAGGAGTTTCAGTTTGGCTGCTTTGCCAATTTTTTTCTTTTTTGCAAAGATTCTTTGGTAACAGCACCAGTGGCGGTGTAAAATAAGAGTATTGCCACGACTCCCACTTTGAAAACCTCTGCCCTAAGTAGACAGATAGCAGATGTCAGATGAAGTGGAGTGTGACCAGACTCTAAACAAACCTGTCCAGGACGCCCGACGGCGTTTGTGTTTTTCTACCTAGACACAAACTCTTCATTACCTTGATGCTGGCATCCTTCCTGGCCTGCTCCGTCTTGTTAAGTTCCTTCCTCAAAACATCCACCGTCTCCTCCAGATCTCTCCTCTCTTGATCCTTTTCCTCCACCTTCCTTACCTCGTCCCGCAGCTCACCACGCAGACCTGACAGGAACATTTATTGAAGCACATTAGGGTTGAACATCGGGGCACGAGCTCCTGGGCTTGACCGAGGTTTGTCCCCAAAATCTGTATATTTGTGTGCACATGTGTACTGAAACAAAGACACCATCCCCACACAGCTACATTACAACCTCGCTGTCACAAAAACCAACCTTGAAGTGTCGTTATTAAGTCGTCGTTATTATTGGTTTGGGAGCACATACACAGACCTCAGTTTGCACTCATTAAAGATTAAAATGTACATTTATATGCAACTTTTATCGTGATTTAGTCTGTTAATGTTCACGTCACTAACTGTAATCTGGGGTTCTGTAGAAACGTACTGTTCTGTTTGTCTGCAGCATCATTTCCTTCGAGTTTGTTAAAAAGCTGCAGTAATCTCACAGTATTGCTCTTCCGACATGGTGACAGCATCAGTCAGACGCTAACAGTCAACATTCTGTGTTTTTCTAAACGACAGATCGGTTAGCCGTCCCACGCAGATTACCAGTCTAACAAGGTTTCATTTGTAAAACAGCAGCCGCCCTCGGGATGATTCCTAGGCCCCATCCACACTACTGAGTCCTTTTGCTACGTTTGCACTTCCCGTCCAGACTACAACGGCGATAACGAAGATAAAGTTTGGAAACGCTGCCGACCCCGTTTTGCGTTTCAAAACTCCGGAGGGCTTTTTAGTGAAGACGGCCCAAAACGGAGGACTTTAGAAACGATGACGCAGCCGCTCACGCATTGGCTCTCTCATTGGGTCTTATATTATTAAAATATTCTGTACAGTGCAAATAACACGCTGCCTACACTTGTACTGTGCAAGTCGGCGTTTACTTTGCGACGACTCCCACTCTGTGTTCCGCCACACTCCAACTTTACATTCAGTTACAGTCCCAGCTCATTATTGGTGCATGCAAAAAAAACCTGCTCTGATTCTTTGTCTGTATTTATTTATTATTTTGCCAAATCTTCTGTAACTACGGAATAGGCCAACTGCTTCATGTTTACTCTGACCCGTGTACCTGAACGGCCAATAGATGTGTGTTTTCAGTCGTTTAATATAGACAGAGATCAACTCCAAAACACAGCTAAAACGCTGGCGTGGACGGAGATCGTATTCGTTTTAATTCTCCGTTTCTAAACTAACTACTAACTGAGTAGTGTGGTTGGGGCCCTAAGCTCGTCAGAGCTGTCGGGACATTTTTATTTGCGGCAGAAAATCTGACAATAGCCGTGTTTCCATCAACGTTTTTTAATGCGCATTTTGACGTATCGCATTAGAAAAGGTTGACGGAAACGGTAAATTTCGAAGAAAAAATAAATCCTAAATTTTGCAAAACAGTTTTTACGCTTGCTTAAAATACATGCACCTCGCAGCTGGTGACGCTCATTTGTGCTGAGAAAAGAGGTGGATGCAAATCTGGGCAGGTAGCCTTCATCATCTGTTCTGCCGAATTATGCATTCACCTCTTAAAGGTCCTTTTCAGATCATTTGCTCTGCACACTGATCAAACGGGGACATCACCGCATATTTTTGCTGAATCTCTATGAACGCTACTTTAGTGAGTCTAACAAAATATTAACGACTCTAAACGTTGATAAAATATATAACTTCAAACCATTTATTACCAGTGATGTTACCAGTATTTTGAGGTGCATGGAATTCTCGGCAGGATGCAAAACTCGGCATAACACCAGATATTCCCATAACGTGTGGAGACATGGCTGGTAGCAATTTGCCCGCTTGAAACACATTTCTGAGAATCTCTCTCCATTTTTCTAAGATCAATGGCCATCAGGTTCATGTGACTGGTTTTGTTTCTGGTTTGGAAGCCAGACATCTTGCTTATTTACAGCCATCTGTAACGTCAACTACTGACGTAACTACGCTTACTGTAAATGTAAATGCTCCGTACTTTTATAGCGCCTTTCTAGTCTTTTCGAAAACTCAAAGCGCTTTTACACTACATCTGCATTCACCAGTCATACACATTCATACACTGAGCCTAAGTGCTCAAACGGAAACTAACATTCACACTCACTCATACACTGGCGGAACAGCCGCCAGGGGCAAATCGGGGTTCAGTATCTTGCCCAAGGACACTTTGACACGCAACCAGGGGGAGCCAGGGATTGAACCGCGGGAGCCAACCCGCTCTACCTCCTGAGCCACAGCCGCCTGGTTTATTCGCCAAACCAGCTGATGGAAACGCACATATTTCTTTTTTTTTTTCTTTTTGCGACACTTAAAATTCGCATGACAATTGGATGGAAACATGGCTAAACTGTGTAGTCTACTGCCTCCTGAAATAAACTACTGATTATGGAAGAAATAAGCATCTTTATAGGATTCATTAACCTGCAGCTCTGTGGTTAAATTAAAATTCATCCCAGGAATCCTGGAAAGAGTGACAGATTCCTTAAAGTAATAATTTTTCACCATAAATCGTTCAACCCTATGCCCGATGGGGCAGAACCAAGTGAGAAATGTTCAAAATCCAGGAAGCCGGTGCTTTAAACACGCGTTAGTTTGAAGCAAATTTGAAATCATTCATGCAATTTCAGCAATAGGACACACTAAACGAATGCCAGCAGCTCAAAGACTTATTTAAGCTGACTGATGTTGATGTCTGACCAACCTGCGATGTCACTGTTCTTCTGCTGCAGGTCTGTTTGGAGGGACCTGATCTCTTCCTCTCTCTCTTCCAACGCCGACGCCATCCTGAGAAAGACAGAGACAGAATTTGGAGAGGCCGCTGCCACCTGGACCTGCGCGGTGTGTGAAACGGTTGCTGTATTTATATAAACAGCACTGCTAAATGATGTGTGTGTGCATTACTTTTCATGCTGCAGCTGCAGCGCTTCGTGGTTCTTCCTCAGACTGTCGTTCTGTTTGGTGAGCGAGATGTGAGCCGCCTGCAGCTCCTTCAGCAGCCGCTCGCTCTCATTGAACCTGCACAGAAAAACAACCCGTTACACACCTGAAAACTACTACACATCCAGCAAACCTGAAGCCTTCAGGCTGCCTTCCCTCCTTTGGTCTGAACCGCTATATTATATTCATTTTGGTATTTAGGTCCTCAGGTGTAGATTTAATATGTGATAAAAAAGTCTTTAGGATTCTGATGGTATTTTTGTAAAAAAAAGTCTCTTAAAAACTGCTTAAAGTCGCCAAAGTCAGACATTTACACTGAGGCTTTAGTGACCTGAGGTTACAGACTCTGGTGACTAGAGAGTCCAAATGATCTGAGTATTTTTAACTTTATCTAAATAAGATGAACTGTTTGTTTGATTCTTCTTCGATGGTCTTAACAGTTAAGAACACATGAAGAAATAACAAATCTTTTACTTTGATCAACAAGAGAAGCTACTGGCTGGCTAGTAGACGCCAACATCTATCTACTGTTACTCATAAACCCTGGCAGAAATGTTGGATCAGGCATGTAACACATCGCTTTTTTAAACAGAATAATCGGTTGGATTACTAATGTGTTAGATCTAAACCTGCAGGGTGCCTAATTTCAGGGTTCGAGTTCAATAATTTTTTCACAGACATTTTGGTCAAAGAATGACAGAAACCCAGTAGGGACAAAAAGCCCTACAATTATTTGTATGTGTAATGTATTGACATATATGTCACAGTTGTGTCAGTACTTCCCAGCTGCATTCAGTAATCCCTACTTATATCAATTAACGTGACCCAGATATGGCAGACAATTCATAGAAGGATTAACTGAATTAAAGTTAATTTTAGTTTTTCTAACATCAACATTTTCCCATTATGACATGAGCTTTCTAGCTACTGTGGTTTGCAGTAGCTGAACTCAATGTTTTTTGAGACCTTCAGATACAATTTATATGAATCTGTGGTGTTTCTTCTATCCAACGGGCCTGTCTGCCTCTGACCTGTTGAGCAGGGCGTTGTAAGCCCCTTTCAGGGCCTGGTGTTCCTCCGAGTCCTGCTGCAGCCTGGCGTTGTGCTGCAGCAGCTCCTCCATGTCGGCCTTGGAGCGCTCCACCTCCAGCACCTGGCTGCTCAGCTCGCCCTGCAGATCCTCGCGCCGACGCTCCGCCTCCTTAAGCAGGCAGCCCAGCTTACAGGCCTGCGCACAAAAGAAACGCAGAGCGGATAAATAAAGATCAGCAGTGGGATATTTATGCTGTGGATGGTGAGACTGCCTGGACTCCATCAGCACCGTCGTACTACTAATGATCCTTCTGAGCATCCGGATGGCTAAGTTTGTTTAAAGCTCTTTACCATCCAGCTTCACAAATCACATATAATCAAATCATGAATTCTTTATTTAATGTGAACATAATTTAAATAACATTGTGATATAACCTAAATGAAGTCTATAATTACAGTTGGGGCTGCGACTAATAATTTTCATTATCGATGTCTTGCTTGGTCAGTCAAAAACCGAAAGATATTCAGTTTACAGTGACATAAAACTGAAATAAGTAGCAGGTTTAAGGGGGTAGGTAACCGTAAATGTTTGGCATTGTTGCTTGATAAGCGACTCAAATGACTGATTAATACATTTTTCTGTCAATTTGATTAATCAGCTAATTGTTTAGCCTTATTCCTGTCCCACTCTGTGTGAAATGCACTGGTGGAAGTGTGTGAATGTTACCTCGGCCTCTGCTTGAGCTCGTTGGAAGCGATACTGAGCGATGAGACGGTCGGCCTGAGAAAGAGCCAGAGCCTTTGCCTCCAACAGGTCCTGCAGTCGACTCTCTTTAGACTGACGGGGAGACACAAAGACATGCTAGTCTTCAAAAAAACTGAGCCAAGCATCATTTTACAAAGTAAACTGAATTATCCACTTTCGTCATAATTATAGATTCCAGTTATCTCAATTTGTAAATACAGTTTACTGGTCAAACAGGTTATTATTAAAAACACAGACAACCTTTAACGATCTAATGTGATTTCATGTGATCTTATCTTTGTGAATCCTGTAATGTTCAGTTCTTATTGTGTCAAAAAGGAATTGATTCAATGTCTATGGTCATTTTTGAGGCAGCAGTTTTGCTTTGATGTTATAAGAGATTGATTTATCTTATTAGTAATTTCTTATTCATGTAATATTTTGTTGCCCCATGTATAAAAAAATAGGACAAAAATGATCAATACAATATTACACTTAAACAGGAGCCTTTGATAAAAAGCAGGATTTATTGTAAGGTTTAAGAAACAAAGCAGGAAACGTTCCTTCAGTCACTTCCCCTGTTTTAAAAACAGCAATATAAGTCAAATTTAAAAAAAAGATCAAATATTCATCAGGTCAGCTGCCAAGTTAACGTCTAGCAGTAAATTCTCCTCTTTCGTCTGACAAACACACTCACCGCAAATGCAGAGAGCTTCTGTTCATAAATGTCGATGATCTCAGAGACGTGCGAGTCCTTCGCCTGTTCCTGCAGCTACAAACAACAAAAAGACACTTTCACACACTCAAATACAGCTGAAAGCACGTGACACGGTTCATTTTAATGTTTTCACCAGGCTGTTTGGCACCAAGAAGATTTAAAAGTTTTTCTTTAATTGAAAAGAGTGAAATGTTCTACAGCTTTACAACTGTTGACCAGCTAGACGGTTGTTCCCAAACTTTGTAGCTTGTGATGCCTAAAAACAAAGTTATTATAGTCTATTTGTGACCCCTTGATGCTGGATGCATATGCCTAAAGCTGTTGAGCTGTTAATCAAAGAGTAATTTTGTCCTCTCAGGATGTTTTATGGGAAAACTTTTTAGGGCGTTGAAGCTTATGATCTTGTGACTTTGAATTATCTTGCAATCCCCTAAGAGGTTTAGACCCACTAGGCGACGTGTCTACAGAATTAAACTACATGCTGACACATCTGACTGTAAGATCACTGTGAATCTACAAAAGTCACGAAAAACACATTATGGTCCACTACAAAAGTCAAAATAAAAGTTGAGAATAGATGTGTGAGGTTGGTTGAACTCGCTTCAGTGATTAATGACCACAGTGTTATTCAGCATGGTGAACACTAGTCGTCGCTCTAAGGCAAGTCTGCACTACGCTGCACTATTTAACTCTTAATTGTGAAAGCATAAATAACAAATTTTAACAATGTAGGCATTTAAAATGATGCATTTACACAAAATGGTCCGAAGTGCCAATAGGTCCAACGACCCAATGACCTAAAATACCAACAAAAAGTCAAAACAGAAAACATATTCCCGTAAGACTGCTTTGATCATGCGGACGGTAAATTCTAAAATGTGAAAATTATGAATATTGAATATAAGCACCAATCTCAGCAATATAACTTTCCAATATCAGTGCATCCTTTTTCCTCAACACACCATACTCTACCTCTAAGCCATTCTGTATCTTTTCAACCAGACTGTGCACACTCCTGCTGGAACCACTGGAAGAGTCCAGGACGCTGGTGTTCATCCTGGAGAGCGGGACTTCCTGCACAGCAACACGTTTGACGGACAGCTCAGCCTCCCTCTGGCGATAGGCGTTGTTGGCGGCGATACTTTCTCCCAAACTTTAGAAATATTGAAAGTTTGATTAACGGCATGAACAACAGCAGAGTGGGAAACTGAGGACTACTTTGTATTCACATAAATCCATTTCAACACCAGTAGACATTAAGACATTTCTATGAATTGCTGTTTTCAGTTGGATGATTCAGTATTGGTCCCGACTTCAATCTTGAGTTCAAATATAAACAAGTGAACAGATGCTACAACAAGCCGTGAATAAAAACCACGGATGTACAACTTTATCGAAACAACTTATTTTAAAATGAAAACTAAGCTAAATGACTATTTTCACTTTTAAAGAATATGGATTTACAATAGATATACACTACCGTTCAAAAGTTTGGGGTCACCCAAACAATTTTGTGTTTTCCTGAAAAGTCACACTTATTCACCACCATACGTTGTGAAATGAATAGAAAATGGAGTCAAGACATTGACAAGGTTAGAAATAATGATTTGTATTTGAAATAAGATCTTTTTTACATCAAACTTTGCTTTCGTCAAAGAATCCTCCATTTGCAGCAATTACAGCATTGCAGACCTTTGGCATTCTAGCTGTTAATTTGTTGAGGTAATCTGGAGAAATTGCACCCCACAGAAGCAGCTCCCACAAGTTGGATTGGTTGGATGGGCACTTCTTGCGTACCATACGGTCAAGCTGCTCCCACAACAGCTCAATGGGGTTCAGATCTGGTGACTGCGCTGGCCACTCCATTACCGATAGAATACCAGCTGCCTGCTTCTGCTCTAAATAGTTCTTGCACAATTTGGAGGTGTGTTTAGGGTCATTGTCCTGTTGTAGGATGAAATTGGCTCCAAATCAAGCGCTGTCCACTGGGTATGGCATGGCGTTGCAAAATGGAGTGATAGCCTTCCTTATTCAGAATCCCTTTTACCCTGTACAAATCTCCCACCTTACCAGCACCAAAGCAACCCCAGACCATCATATTACCTCCACCATGCTTAACAGATGGCGTCAGGCATTCTTCCAGCATCTTTTCATTTGTTCTGCGTCTCACAAACGTTCTTCTTTGTGATCCAAACACCTCAAACTTGGATTCATCCGTCCACAACACTTTTTTCCAGTCTTCCTCTGTCCAATGTCTGTGTTCTTTTGCCCATCTTAATCTTTTATTGGCCAGTCTCAGATATGGCTTTTTCTTTGCCACTCTGCCCTGAAGCCCAGAATCCCGCAGCCGCCTCTTCACTGTAGATGTTGACACTGGTGTTTTGCGGGTACTATTTAATGAAGATGCCAGTTGGGGACCTGTGAGGCGTCTGTTTCTCAAACTAGAGACTCTAATGTACTTATCTTCTTGCTCAGTTGTGCAACGCGGCCTCCCACTTCTTTTTCTACTCTGGTTAGAGCCTGTTTGTGCTGTCCTCTGAAGGGAGTAGTACACACCGTTGTAGGAAATCTTCAATTTCTTAGCAATGTCTCGCATGGAATAGCCTTCATTTCTAAGAACAAGAATAGACTGTCGAGTTTCAGATGAAAGTTCTGTTTTTCTGGCCATTTTGAGCGTTTAATTGACCCCACAAATGTGATGCTCCAGAAACTCAATCTGCTCAAAGGAAGGTCAGTTTTGTAGCTTCTGTAACGACCTAAACTGTTTTCAGATGTGTGAACATGATTGCACAAGGGTTTTCTAATCATCAATTAGCCTTCTGAGCCAATGAGCAAACACATTGTACCATTAGAACACTGGAGTGATAGTTGCTGGAAATGGGCCTCTATACACCTATGTAGATATTGCACCAAAAACCAGACATTTGCAGCTAGAATAGTCATTTACCACATTAGCAATGTATAGAGTGTATTTCTTCAAAGTTAAGACTAGTTTAAAGTTATTTCCATTGAAAAGTACAGTGCTTTTCCTTCAAAAATAAGGACATTTCAATGTGACCCCAAACTTTTGAACGGTAGTGTATGTTAAGACTTAAAGCTGAGATTGGCAAGTTGGAGAAACTAGGAAGAGACAGCTAGATTTATAAAAGTACTCAACTAAAAAATACCACCCCCTCCCTACAAAGCCAGTTCCCCAAAACACACTGTGTCCCCAGATATCTGCATTTACGTTGGTAAGCTAAATATCTTCATAAAACCTATCAGCATAAAACTATGAAAATATGACCCAGGTTGTAAAAAACAGAATATTTTAAACCAAATGTGTTGCTTAAAAATTGTTGGTTTGGGAGATGAATTATAAACCAAATGAGTCAGACTTGACATGATTGGCAGCTGTGGGGTTCAGATAACAGCAAGTCACTTCTAGCAGAGGAACTTTTGAAATGATGATTTTCACAGAGTGACTCACACCAGTGAGGGGAAGTCTGGCAGGGGTGTGGCTTCAAACAACAGAGCGAGTCCAGTCTGAACACGCTCTCTGTGGTGGGACGTCAGGGCCAGAGAGAGCGGAGTCACGATCCTCTGGTCCTGGAAAGCGAACAACAGTAACGAAAGCAGATGATGAAGCAGAGTGTAGCAAAGAGGTGATGAGTATGTGAAAAACCAGGAGCTCACTATACTTGTGGGTCCGACACCTTTGTGGGGACAAAATGCTGGACCCCACATGTTTAAAGGGCTCATTAAAGGTTAAGACTTGGTGTTAGGGTTAAGCTTGATTTATACGTAGCTATGCATTTCTACTTGTGCATCTGTATCAACGGCGTACGGTACGGGGTAGGCTATGGGGCTACTCAAAGGCTACGCCGTCGATTCAACGCAGAAGCATGAATCGCACTTTAGTTGTAATGGTTAAGGTTCAGGGGTAAAGGTTAAAGGGAAGGCAATCTCTCAATGACGGGTCCCCTCAAAGATAGTGACATCAGGCTGTGTGTGTACCTGTAACATCCTGTAGAAGCTGGTCTCCATGTCCTTCACCTGTTGCCTCAGTTTGCTCATTAACTCCAGAGTCCTCAGCAGAGCTTCTGCACACACCTGACTGATACAGAAAACACACAACTTTAACGGTTTTGTATTAAAGCTGCAGCGGTGGAGGAAGTATTCAGGTATTTTACTTAAGTAAAAGTAGCAATATCACTGCAAATACTTCATTACAAACAAAGGTCCTGCATTCAAAGTAGACAGAGCTCCTTTTGCCTCCACGAATACTTTTATACTTTATTATACAGCAGGATTATTATTACTGAGAAAATACATTTTCTCATTTGGCAGACGCTTTAATCCAAAGCGACTTACATTTGAGGAACAACATACAATCATTAACAGAGCATCAAATACAGCACGAGATCTACAACTGAGCAGCCGTGAAGACTAGTAAGCGCTAATGGCACATGACGCATCATTGCGGTAAATACCTAGGAAAAGAAGTTAACAACAAGTGCAATCAATACAAGATAATTGTAGGGGTTGTTTGTGCATGTTTGAGGTTTGAGGTCTTATAAGAGGAAATGTTCCCGGAAGAGATGGGCCCTTGCTCTGATGGCGTGCGGTAGCTCGTTCCACCATCGTGGTGTCACAGATGAGAACAGCTGGGACTGGGATTGCTTTGTGTTTCGGGATGGCAGAGCCAGGCGGCGTTCGTTGGACGAGCGTAGAGGCCGAGAAGGAACGTAAGATGGGTGCAGACCCAGTAGTCACTCTGTATGCAGCATTAGTGACTTGAATCTGATTCTGGAGGCCATGTGTAGCCATTGGAGGTCACACAGCAATGGAGTGGCATGCGTCCTTTTGGGCTGATCATAATAGTCGGAGGGCATTGCAAAACGTAAGCAGCATTTTAATGCCGGAGCTGCTGCAGTAGAGCTAAGTTTTTAATTTAAATGCTGTTGGGCAGCATTGTATTTTATATGCTCATTAAAAGTTTTAAAACTCTTTATCTGCAAAGTAACGAGGGCAGCTCCGGACTGCAAATGTGTTTTTCAAGCAAAAACTTGAAAGTTAGTTTAATAAGGAACCTGCTCTTCCTCATGCTCTGAGGAAGTCTACAAACTTATCAGCAAAAGCAGAAACCACACAGACAACAACTGCTCTGATGGCTCGACACACCATGAACCCCTTTAAAACTATATCAAGGAACTAGAAAATGTTCATCATTAAACTGATTGATTAACCAACAAATACTTTCAGCATCAGCCTTATGGTCACAAGATTCCTGCAACAATTAATAACCTTTAAATGGCATGTCGAGTGTTTCCCACATAATGAAGTGTAACTGCGGTGGCTGCAGTGTATATTTCTATATATACTAGTTTATTTCACCATTAAAATTCTACTTCATTCTCCACCTTTTTTCAGTGTTTACTCACTACTTGAATCTACCCGTTTTGCTTTTCCCCTTCAATTCACGTCTTACCGAATGACGTGCACTGGTGTGTTCACTGGTGCTTTACCTGGTCTCTGCTTGTAAAATATCCACCGTGTCTGTGTCGTTATGTAATACCAGATAAAAGTTTCTCTCTGTGATTTTCTGCAAAATGCTAAAATGCCAAAGTCTATCTGTGACACATTTAAATCTATAATTGTAAACATACAGATAATAATATAAAAATCCCGAAGAACAAATGTGTCCAGAAAATATTTGATAACCAGAAGAAATTTTAATTAATCAAATTGGCAGACAAATGAAAATGAGTATACTCATCCAATCACTGTCAATTTGCCTCTAACAAGCAAACATCAGCTTTAAAAGTAACTCATCCAAACACTTTACTGTATGAAACTGTGATCCCAACATGGATCACTGATCGATGGAGCCAATTCATTAAAAGGCTTCAAGCTCTAAACGCATGCAACTTAAAATACCTGAGCAGTTACGGGCAGCTACAGCAAACCTGGCGATCAGAACCACAGCATTCACTCACCTGAGGTCGCTGTCAGATCCAGGAGGGAGGCAGGTGAGAGGGCTGTTGCTATGACAACAGGAGAGGAGGGACTCAACCTGGGAGAGGCAGAGCTGAGCGCTCACCTGACGGGACACCAGTGATCTGGTGGAGTCCTCGGCACACAGGAGTGGAGGAGTTAAGGCTTCAAAACAAACAGAAACAAACAAATACACACAAACAGCAGACAGGCACAGTGAGGTATTGTTGAGGGTATTGATAAGTGAGGATATTGAGCAGCAGACTGGTGACATGTGTGATGCGGTGGCACTGTTTCCTGAGGTGAGCGTCTCCCTGCGCAGGATCGAGGCCCTTCAGCAGCCCTAACAGGACCGGAAGCAACATTTCTATGAAGCTCAGCACACATTCAGATACACTCTCTGCTCCCAACGCCTCCTGGATGGAGAGAGAGGAGAGGACACATGGAGGGGAAAAGAGACAGCAGGAAGTAAGTTAGCAGCTACAACCTTTACCTAAACCTATTAGACCTACAGCGAAGTCATGCTGTCAAACACGGACTGCACGCAAGACGATCATAGAGCGACTGTAAACAAAGTGGCACTTATGGAAAGAGGGGATTAGATTTGAGACTATCTAGTTTTGGGAAATGTACAAAAATAAAAGCAGCAAGCCAGAAGGGAAGGGAAACGTTTTCCACAAGGCAACACAAAGAGTAGGAATGGGAATCGAAACTAATTTGTTAGCGCTACCCAAAATGTGCCCGTACCACTGAGTATCGAAAAACTGCGGCTTGTTTACTTGATTTTTAAACCAATATTTACTGATAAAATGCATAATTGTGACATTTCAGTTTTCAATTTTGTTTCGCTACTTGTCTTAAGGCAACATTTACCATTTCAGAAATTTGACCTCTGTGTTGATGCAGAAAAAAAATTATATTCTTCAAAATAGGCTTTAAATAAACAAAAAGGGGAAGTCCTGGTGACGTTTAAGACGCCAATATCACAAATAACATTGCTATTGCAATATCAGTCAAAATAATAGCAGATAGATATATTTATTTTTTTAATCGTGCTAATCAGCTCTACATTTAAGAGGTGCAGCTCTTAACAATAATAAAGTGACTTTATACATTAAATGTAACACATTAAATACAGTCTACTCAGTCCTAATTTGGGTTCATGCTTGTGTTTTAATATAACAGGTTTGGCTATAATTCAGTGCTGCGCTGAAAACTGCTGCAGGTTTTATAGTTGAAATGACAAGTATTGTGGCCGAGAGACTATTTAAATGTAACTAACTGATTCAGACTGAATCAATCTAATCTCACTTAGCAGGACTCATAGATGAACCTGGTCTTAAACTTACAGTCTTATTGTCAAACTTCTACACGTGACAAATCTGTCAGTGCCTTGTGTGTCCCTGGAGGGATGCCGTACCTCGAGCAGCTCACTCAGCAGCTGCAGGGCCTGGAGCGAGCAGGACTCAGCTCCCTCCACAGGTGAGCTCAGCCACTGCACAAGGGCAAGCCCGGACTCAGCTTTGCGTCCACCTTCTAGTCCGGCCCCCTGCCTGCGGCCTGCAGCCCTGAGTTTGGGTCCAGCCGGTTTGAAAACCACCTCGCACAGCAGCGAACACAGACCGGAGACACTGCACATGGCCAGGAGGAGCTCTAACACCTGGAAACAACACGCACAGACCAAGGTGAAACTGCAATGAGGATTTCTCGCTATTTTCTGACATCATTAAAGACCAAAAGCTAAATTACCAATATTTGGTAGGTAAATAAACAATGAAAATAATTTTTAGTTGTAGCTGTAATACTGATTAGTTTACATTCTTTGCTTTCTTCTTCTGCCCTTTACCTGCACTACAGGTCATTTTACAGTTATCAGCTTTACTGATGTTAACAATCTCTTTTACAAGGCGTCCTTGAGGGTAAAGCCTATTTATGCAGTCTGAAAGTTATATAAAGATAGACAGATTAATATGTAATAGGGCCGTACATAATAGGGCTGGACGATTTGGAGAAAAGGTCATAGTGTGATTATTGGGAACAATATTATGATTAGCAATTCTGATTCGATTATAATGAAACAAATTGTACTACGAGTCTACTTGCTTAATTATCAAGGAACTGCACATGAGTGTATTAAATAATGTTTAATTAATAGTAGGCTATACTGTTAGTATAATAATCTAATGGCTCTCATCCAATCTTTGACTATTTGGGGTCAGCCTTATCAATAATTATACTGTTCGACATTTAATGATTTTCAAATGTTTTTTAATGTCCTCTCCAATCAAGGCTGTGATTGACTAGCTGACTGACAAGCACATTGGCTCTGTGAAAGGTTTCACAAACTTCTTAACTCAAACCTTCTTTATCTTCTCTCAGTTTTCTTCCGTCTTACTGCTTCAGCTGCTGCCGATGTCTCTCTGTCATAGAGTGCCCGGCATTTCTCTCGGTGCTCCGGTGGCGCGTCCGAATATGTTTTGAACGATTAGCGGGGGAGCAGGCAGGGGGTTTACTGTAGGTTGTTGTCTTAAAAGTTACTGGCAGACTGCTCATAAATTATTTCTCACATTGCACGTAGGCTTATCTACTTATAGTGGCAAATGTGAGAGGCGGATGGAGATAATGAGCAGACTGCAGCGCACACAGAGAAGACGATTTGCAATTGCGATTAGATTCATTGTGCAGCCCTAGTACATAACTGCTAACCTAGTCATTTTTTTAATTGACTAATTTTGTGTATTCTCAAGAAGAAAAAAAAAATGTTGCCTATTACTCGATTAACATACCAATTTATCCAAAATAAAGATCAAAACCCTGTCTAATAAATAATTTTATTCAATCATACTGATGAAGCACATTAGAATAATGACAGCAGCATATCCCAGCAAATTTCCACATCACTGATGTGTTGTGATAATAACAATAAAGAGATATTAATTAGGTTACTTTACTTAAAACTTTAAATGTTTCTGACATGGATTTATTTCAATATTGAGTAATGCAGTATGATAATCAAATGTATTTCTGCATCAGTGTGGGGCAAAGAAAACAACTGAAACGATTCACAGACTGTACGGTTATTGTTGTCTGCACTGTTACTTTTGCTTCACGTGTTCATGCTGCTTCACGTATTCGTGGACAGCAGTTGTGCGGCTGTGAAGCTATTTCCAGTTCACAGAAAGCTCACAGAGCAGCACGTTGTTGAGTGTCTGTCTAAAATATTCCCGCCGAAAGTGCGGTCTTGGGAGAGTCGACGTACTTAAGTGATCGATTACATCAACAAATCGCCCCGGCCCTAATGTATATCTGTTTCCAGGATTCTCTCATCTCACCTTTGCGGCAGAGTCCGGGTCTTTTGATTGCAGCAGTCCTAAAACTTGAGACACACATGCTGAGAAGTGCTGATACCTTAAAAATGGAAAAATGGTTTTCAACTTGAATTCACTGTCTGGTGAACAAAGCCTTGAATCAAACTCTGAGGTTAAACTCAGCGTGAGATGTGGCTGTTCGTGTGTGTGATGTACCTTGTGAGGTTATCGGCTATCTTTGGGTTTTTCAACAAGTCAACCAAAAGGTCAACGGAGTACTTTCTTGTCAGAGTACCGTCGCCGTTCACGATGATGTTGAACACTAGCTGGAAAGTCTGGTGGATATTCTTTGCGTCAAAGAGCTGAGAAAAAAAAATAGAAACAGAGGGGATAAGTCTGTCTGGCATTAACGAACATGTGACTGAGTTTTCTTGTTTATTTAGACAGCATTAAATAAAGCTGAAGTGAAAAGAGGAACAAACTGAAATAAGGAACAGTTGTATGAGCTGTTAAGTCAAAAAACTTAATTTATGCACAACCAAAAATAAAGGTATGAAATATTATAATTATTCATAAACAAGCTACATTTTCCATCCATTATGTTTTTCTAAAGGCTTGTAAAGTGCTGCTGGCCTGACCGCACGGATAATGTAGGTCCCAACATACATGTCTGATAGGGCTACACTGTTAACTGACCAAAAATATGCTGCAATAGCTGTAGAAATATGACACTGCTGTACCTGACTGTTTCATTTTAAAAGTAAGGGTTAAGATCTTTCTTCATTTGGTAGAGAAAGGGTGCAGAGTATTCACAGGTGTGCAACTTTAAAATAAAAAAAACCATTGTTTTCAGCCATGGCCTGACTTTAAACGTGAGCAGATCCCGGCAGCGAGCGTTTCCCACCTACCTTCTCTCCAACCTTCTCATTCAGAGTGAGGCTGGCCAGTATGGACAACGTGAAGACCACCACAGTCAGACTGTTGTGAGCCAGGAAGTTGATCAGAGTACGGTAGAACGGCTTCACATTGTCCTACAGGAACACACACACATACATACACAAGACTAGATAATCTTTCTGCCGTGTGGATGTTGTGTTTGTCTGCCATCTTAAAAATGTTGATCTGGAATTTGGTGTCCTTTAAACACAGATTTTCCTGTCATCTGGCAGAACGCAGATATAAACTTTGGAAATATTATGCTGAACAACAAGTCAGATACTGTGAGGATCTCTGAAGACCACCATGCTTGCTGAACGTCCTTTCTTGTTACAGTAAGGACGTGCAAATACAGGTAAAAATCACAAACACCCACTTATTACTAATAATTGTTTGTTTTTTCTGCTTTGTCTTGTCTTGCACACACAGACAGACATCCTGCGTAACTTGCTGTGTTCAGCAGACTCACCAGAGACTTGATGTGACTCTGCACCGAGTGGTTGTCACGACACAGGTTGGCCATGAGGCCGAGGCACGGCATGATGATGTCGTCATTGTGAGACTGGCTGTGGCGCAAGACCCGAGGGAATATGGTTAACTGAATGTCAAAAAATACAGCTTCATTATGTCGTACTGGGAGATGTGAGACGTGATTCTTACATATTTGTCATGAGGAAAGCGATGAGCTCGTGGATGTAGTTTGCAGACTGGAAGATGCGTGTGTTGTAAGTCAGTTTCTGCAGCACCTGCAGGCACTGAATGAAACATACGAGACAACATGATGCATAGGTGAGGGTTTCTCCGGTCTCAAAATCATTCAAAGATTGTACCACAACCATGACCGACTGTATCTTGATGAGTTATTTTCATTTTAGGAAAAAGAATAAATTTACTCTGTCCTTTAAGGAGCATTGACTGTAATTTACTGACTTACCTGCAATACCAGGGGCTCTCCTGGGGTGGCGCTGTGGCAGTGGATGACAGAAGCCAGAGTGCTGGTGAGGTTGTAGCTGCTGTTAAGAATCTCCCGACTGTTGTCATCACAGGCTGAGGGGGGAGAGAGAGCATGCAGGTGGGGAAAAAGAAAAAAAATGTTCTTTTTCAGACAGAGAGCTACCAATTCGGTTTTCTACCTCAGGATTCACACACTCACCGGGAGGAAATCCTAACAGTGTTGCTTTCTACCTTCACTGTGTGATTAAAGCATGGCAGTGATCTCTCTAAAGGGTCACTATAAAAGGAGAATAAGGAATGTTTGCCAACATACTTTAAGGTAATGTGTAAGTATCAAGGTGGACTCTACTTTTTTATGACTCAGTGACACTATAAATTGTATTTAATCTATTTGTATTCTCATCTACTGTTCTTCAGGTACGAGCGGAACTGCTGATACTATAAGCATCACACAAATACCCTCAAACTAAAGTGGAGATACATATCTTTTTTATGAATTTTAGTAATGCTTGGTCTTGGACCTAGCAGCAGAGAAAGGGTTATCTTTATGGCTGTGTGAGATCCCTATTTGTGTGCATCTGAAACCTATCACCTAACGCCTAACGCCCCCTATGTGAGGCCAACACAAAACAGCTCAAGCTTTTAGGTAATGGTGCATGTGTGGTGTGAAAGTTGACACATGTATGTACATTTGTTCAGTCTACCTAGTTGAACCAGCAGGGAGATGATGGAGCTCGTCAGGGTCGGGCTGGTGTTTGGGTTTCCAGCCAGCTCCACCAGCCCACTCACACATTCGTGGGGAAGCACGTGGCCTGAGGAGAGCAGCTTCTCACATTTAAGGCCTGAAACCTCCTGCAAACACACACACACAAGCGCATGTAGAAACGCTCCTGAGCCCCGCAGGCTGCATAGGTGTAACGTATACGCAGGGAGGGTATGCATGCAACACTCCTGCCAACTTTCAGTAAAGCTACAGTACCCCTACCAATCCACTGACTTGTAAACACAAAGCTTAAACAGATTTATTATTTTGGTTTGATCCTAATCACACTGTCCTGTGCTTCGAGACAAACAGTCAGCGCACACTGTGGGGCAACATCACCTCAGCTGATGCTCAGCCTAGTTATTATGCAAATGTCTATTTCATGTTGTTATCTACCGAGCATGTGTATTCCATGTGATTTTTGTATAAATGGGAAAGATTTACCAAGTCAGAGTCAATTAAGGAGAGATAATCAGAGGCTCATGCAGTAGCCTTTATAGCCTAATTAATAGCTCGGGCTTTAATTTGTTTAAATCACTGAACTCACAGACACGCAAGATATCAATCGATTTGTCTCTTCAATACGAAGAGAAAGAGCTCACAGCCCTGTAGGATGTTCTGTTCTCAAGCTGTGGCCTGTAAAGAATGGGAGTGCTTTTGGTCATTTATATTGACTGTTTTTATCAATATTTTAATGTTTTGGAAGCTTTATTATAGCACGTTATTTGGAACGTGGTTGTATGGAGAGAAATAATGGTTTGAAGATAACTCCCAATAAAAGTGAACATATAAACAGTAAATATGGCCAAAACATGGTATATTTTTGAAAAGATTGTGTAATAACTGTTGTACATGAGTTTCTTTTCATGAAATTTACAGTTACAGTTGTATTCCAGGTGTATTTGAAGATAGTCAGGTGCATTATAATCTACCTTGTGTTGGTTTTGATGGTTTATTGCATTAAAATATAGCTTTTTTTTTTTACCAGGTGAGGAAGAAAATGTAATTTTTTCTGTATTGCATCTCCATGTAGTCTGTAATGGTAAAATAAATATGTTAATGTACAATGGATTTATATTTCTCCTTCCTTCTGACCTTTCAAAGGAGAACAGAATTATGCAGCTAGGCCTAATAGTTGAGGAGATATCACTGATTATTTATTTTGGGTATTGGTTATTTTAGGTGTTTTTTCTGGAAATAGGTGCCAGGGACCACCATGGCAGTAAATCTGAATTAATACTTTGGTGCTCACATTGTTTCAAGTTCAAGTTTATTTATATAGCACATTTAAAAACAACACTACTTGACTTAAGTGTTTGCCACAATAGACAACAAATATACATGACATGTTTCTGTAAAAAGAACTGAACAATTGAATTGTGGAGAATCTAACTGATCTAATGATGAGTAGCGTGTCCATCTTGACAAGTAACATTTATATTAGTATTTACCATCAAAGCAGCTTAGAAGTAGCTCAAGAGGGTAACCAGGTGGGCTTTAAGAGGTTTTATGCATCCAAAGAACTTCTACAGATGGAGACCTGCCTTTATTTGCAACAAGTGTAGCCAACCAGGACAGTAAAGGACAGCAGGGCTCTGCAGCGGGTGATTAAAACTGCTCAGAAGATCATTGGTATCCATCTCCCGAGCATCAGTGATATCTTTGAGGTGCCTACACAGAGCCCAAAGGATACTAAAGGACAGCCAGTTCATCCTGCTGCATTCTGGGAAGAGATATAGAAGTTTCTGCTGCCGTACCACCAGACTGCAGAGCAGCTATCAGACTTTTAAACTCAAATTCATCCTTTTTACCATTTTTATGATTGCTTTTGTATTACTTTATATTGTCTGCTACGTAGCAGAAATTTCCCTCTACAACCTGACGTAAACTGACAAATAAACCTTAACTTGTACAAGTATTATGTATATTATAGCATTTATTTGGATTGTCTTATTTCATTACAAATGCTGTCAGAGGGTGTACATGTTGATCAAGTTTGGGTCCCTTCTCCTTCTCAACACACTTTATGGCACTTATTTGCAAGACTATTGAACTAAATTGTTGAACCACAGCAGTTACCAGCCTCCTTATGTGATTCCACCCCCCGTGCTTGTGTCCCTATAAACTCTGAAACCACACCTGTGCCCTTGGTACTGCAGGCTGGGACATTAAATCAGACAGCTCACCTCCACCTGTTTCTGTAGCTGCGCTGCGTTGTACGCTGTCCTGCCGTCTCTGTACTGCTGGATCGCCAACAACAGAGACTTCAAACACGTAGTCATGTCCATCCTGTGGAACAGCGCTATCTTTAAGGTTATAACATAAAGACAACACATAACTATCCTTTCAAAACAAATGGACTAACGTTTCACAACCTCCATCTTGAATTTCCTACCACACTTAACTAGCTAACAAGCCCATCTTAGTTTCATGACAACAGCAAACTAAACAAACTAATTCAAACGTGGCTTAAAAGTCTTGACAGCCGCTCACTTATTATAAACGACTACATTAATATATATTCGTGCTTGTTTGTTGCAGGCTACCTGTTGGTGTTTTCTCTTCTTTCACAAACATCAACAACACAGCAGCTACTTCCTCCCGCTTCGAGCTTCGAACTGGAGAGGGACGGACCATGTAGGAGGAAGAAAGAGGGGGCGACGACGACAGTTTAAAACAACACCGATACAGTTTATGTTCATTTATGTACAATATAAACAAACAGGAAGGTGTAACTACGTTTTCTCCAGTTTTAAATTAAATAATATGCAAAGGTTTGTATGTGTGTTATATAAAATAAGCGATATGAAATTGCACCCCCCCCCTTTTTAAGTGTTTTGGACCAGAGAATTCACGTAACAGGACGGGGCGAGAAACATCCGTTGTAGTTCTTATGTAAAAAAAAAAATAAATAGCCTACATTATTATTACTTTAATTTATAATAATAATTACTTTATATTTTCAGTTGACATGAGTAAACCAGAAACCATTTAAGATTTAAAGGCTGATGATTGTGGCATGTCTTGTTGGTGAAATGCTGTTTTTCTCTTTATTTGTTGTTAATTTAAAATGTGTTTGTCCCTTGTTGATTTGTAGAGATTGATTTTGGTTCACCTGTCTAATGCAATCAAATACAAGAGCCCTGTCTTTAAAAAGTTTGTGTTGATTCATCTTTGTGGTTAGTGGAGGTGTTGTACTGTACTGAAATGTTTTTTTTTAATGTTGTCCATCTTATTTACAAACACAATAATAGGCAAATATATTCATATGATGCATAACAGTGCAGCAACACATGAAGGTATAGCCTCAACAATAAACACAAAGTTATATCAGCATGCCTGACACAAAAACGTAACATAAAATTCACATTATATACACATTCAAATCTAATGAACTGGATTTTCTTTCTGCATTATTAGTTATTTATTAGTTAGTTAGTTATGAATCTGCATACACACAGGTCTAACGTGCTGTGGTAAACTAACAAATACTCAAGAAATTATATAATTTAAAACCTAAACAACACATAAACAATTTCAGATAGGTAGGCTATCCGTTTGATCAAATAATTGTGACCAAGATATTCACTGAGTAGGACATTTTACAGTTTAAAAAATAATCATGCCAGTTTCTCTGGAGGTTTCGTATGACGTAGTTGACCTTTTGCCTTTATTAGACTGGAAACAGAGAGGGGTGTGAGGAAGAGCAACAGCCCCTTGCTGCTTTCCACACCTGTCTGCTGTCGGTCAGCCCATACAATAACAATAACACAACAATCAAATAACAGTTTCCTGAGCCGCAGTGTGTGGATGTTATTGTAGACACACATTATATCTTTGGGACAAAGACTTTAATCTCAGTCATGGTAATCACACCTTTCACCCTTTGATCTCATAAAATTGAAGATTTGCTGCCAATGACTGAACGTGTCCATACACTACATATATGCATGTTTGTATTGTAGACGTGTAAAGTTGTCTGTTTGTGGAAACTGTGGTCAGACCATAGTCTGAAAATCTATCGCTGAATTTTTCCGCTTTGTTGATTCTCCTCTGTGCTTTGGTGAGACGTTGCACAGTTAAATATGCATTCCCTCCCAATGTGCAACATTTTATAAATCTCCCCAAAAAAAACAAAATGCATGTCCTAATATGATGCCATGGCGGTACTAAAGTAATAAAAATAATGCTTTAAAAAAGAGTCAGTGAGAAATATAATGTGGCTTATGAGCAGCTTGTAATGGGGAGGTGTGAGAACAGGATGTGTGGTAATGTTTTTGTCCGTACAGAGAAATGGTGTGGTAAGCAAACATATTTATTACATTTCAACATCAATGTGCAAAGTGAGGAAATTATGGATAATCTCAGAATGTCAGGTTTCTGGAGTGACATTTTAATCGCACATTAACAGTAACCACACAAGATTATAAGGGAAGTCCACGTTCATATGTGGTGTCCGAACGATAATGCTGCGATGATGTGTTGAGAAGAAACCTGCTTGACACTGTTCTTGATCATAAAATTTTATTAAATCAAAGAGTTCAGCATCAATTACAAGCTCTGCAGCAGCTTGGAGAGTGACCCAGCCCGATGACCACTCTGTCACTCTGTACATCAAACATAGCTTATATAGGATATATTAAAATCACATATTTTCCACATTCTAGATGTCTGTGGTGATAAAAAAATGTTTCATACTAAATAAAATAACTAAAGTAAAAGAATACACTATGATGCATCTATTGCAGCAACAACATTGGTCAAATTAAAGCCATAGCAGCCTCAGTGCAGCCAGACCATCAAAACCACATGTGTGAATGATAAGATCAGTCTTCTCTGGTTTCAGAGAACACAATCATTTCTGTCAAGTTCTCAGTATTTGTTAATTTTGGGGTGAAGTTCACACTAACATTTTGTTTTTTGTTCAACTCATCACATTAACACCTATATAAAACTATATAAAACACTTCATTACAATAAAGGTTGACAGTAAAGGAAGCACAGGTGAGGACACCATAGTGCAAATACATGTGTGAAGGCTCATTTGATCTGTTAATATGTTGCATGTTTGAAATGCACATGAAACTCTTTGAAAAAGCATCACAACAAATCCAACTTTCATGCTTAGATTTTACATTGTTATATTAAAGTTACAATGGATTTTACTTAATCTCCTGCACGCATCAACTCTTCAACAGAGCTGCAGAGCAAAGTATTTCTTTACAAAACATAGTAAAAATATTTGGGGAAAACATCTATAAGTATTATTTATTAAGAGCTTAACGATAAACAACTGATTGAATCATCTGATGTGATCATAACAACATAAGCAAACAACTCTACAGCCGGTTGTGGGATGTAATTCAGTACATATACTCAAACAGCCTAATGTAGGGGAGAGCAGGGGGAAGTTGTCTCATGTGTAAGGTGTCACACTGCTCATAACTCCAACACTAGAGCCTCTATGTCAAAAATCAAATAGCCACTTTGTGTGACTTCTTTTTCTATGTTCAGCTTCCTGTTCACATGTGGTCAAGGTCACTCTAATATGAGGTGAGCACAATTTTATTATTTTTTTGCTTCATAAGTAAAACATTTGCACTTTACATTTTATGTAATCCAACCTTATTAGGCATGAATGTTCAAAATGATAACTTTGCACAAAGTAGAGGAGACAATAACGTGTCTTTTGATACTTCAGCTGAAGTGCTATGTTAAGCTTACCTTGAGATTTAGCTGACATTAGCACACATGTCAGTTTGGGGCAAGTTGTCTCAGTGACTTTGGGGCAAGTTGTCACATGTGATTACTTGCCCCAGTACAAATAAACACATAAAATATGCTCAAACAACTATGTGAAATTGTGTAATTACCTCTGACACCAGTATTAAATGTTACTGTAAATAGAATATTACACACTGTAGTTTACAGCAGCAGCCATGTGCCTGGAAAAGACTTCATGACAGGGTATATACGCTCTTATACCATAGGCATGTAGTGTGTTAGTAGATACAAACCCACACACTACATCATACAGTTATTAATTTAATTAGGCAACAAGGGTGGTAGACAAATAAGCTTGTAATCTTTTGTAATTTCAAGGAGGAATGTGTTTTTGAAGGAAGGAAGAAAATGATCAACAGAAGACAGAGAATGACAGAACACCAGCTGACATAATGTTAAAGGCTGTCAGGCAGGTGAAGTTCAAGAACAAATCAGAAGTACAGCTAAGGATTTTGACATAAGCTGCTGACATCTCTTTTGGCCTCATCTACGTGGAGCCATTTTCATACAGTATTAAAAAGAAGACGTGGTTTAAGTGTGTGAAATAAAAATGGGCCTGCGATGTTTGCACCTCAGGCCAGGCAATTTATGTGTGCCAGAACTGTGACTCTGAATACATGTCTGATTAATCAGATACAGATGTACGTCATACAAAAATGCACATTGTTGCATTAGTGTGTTTAAACACCACATCTGCGTAGTTAAGAAGTTAAATATTTAAGCAAGTCATCTGCAGCATTACATTCAGTTATTTTTTAGTTGTTTTCATGCCTATTTCCACTTCTACTCCACTACATCTCAGGGGTAGTCAACAGTGTACTTTTAACTTCACTACATTTATCTGGCAGCTTTAATGTCTTTACCAATCAAGATTTTTGCACCCGAAAACACACAACGAGTTTATAAAATACATTTTATTGTAAATTAAACTGCAACAGTTTTATAGTAGTTCATCTGAGACATTCATGGATTGACAGAAAATTAAGTGCTAACTACTTTTTAAATCATTGAAGACATGTTTCATGCAAAAACATTTAGGTTTAGAGGTAGAGCGTATCGTCCCCTAATCGGAAGATGTGCGAGGTTGACGTGGGCTTGGGCAAGATACTGAACCCCAGCCATCGTTGTGTGTGTGTGTGTGAATGTGCTATTCTTTCTGCAGTTATGGGAAATGATCCTAACTTGTACAGTACAGTGCGTCACCTATTCACACTCAGTCATAAACTGATGGTAGACGCTAAGTTGCCAACTGCATCATCAGAACAGAAATTAACATTTATATAAATTCACACCCAAAGGACACTTTGACATGCAGAGGAACCGGGGGATCGGACCTCCGGTCCACCTCCTGAGCCACCACTGCAGTTACATCAGTGTGTGAATTTTTACATGTGTTGTAAACAAGCGTGTTACTTTGGTGAAAGTTTCTGCACCAGTTTATGGTGGAAATGTTTTTATTTATATAAAAGGAAACACAAAATTCAGGTAGCACATGACATTTTAAAATATTTAAATAGAATGTAAGTCAGTGCAGCTCTCAGGCATTATGTGTTGCTTTCAGATATGTTTCTCCTGTATATCAACTTGGCCAACCTGGCCAAAAAGAAGTCAAGAAGCTGTTAAAGTTACTGATAGGAGCTACATGATTTTGGGTGGGGTTTTTTTGCATGTTTTCTTAATGTGCAAATTAACCTTTATAAAGGCATTTTCATTTGTTATTTAACTGTAAGCTATATTTCCGAATGTTTTTTTGAACAAATTAACTCATGGGGACAAAATCAGCCATTTCAAAAAGTGGTGGGGACATGTCCCCAGCGTCCCCAGTGTTAATGACACCTATGGTTGTAAAGTACTTTGAGTGGCTGGAAGAGTCTACACAAAGGTAGTCCTTTTTATTTTTTCCAATTTTAATGCATTGTTAATAACGTTGAGGTCTGGACTTGTTGTAAAGGTGTCACTTTGGGCTCTGGGTAATCGTGAGGGCATTTCTCACTATTTTTACAGTGTGAACAGTGAACATCCCTTCAATGCTCCCTCATTAGCACCGCACCCAAAATTCAAATCTGAAACACCTTCGACCTGTTGACCTTTTTGTTCCACCACTAAAAATAATAACATACCATAATTTTCAGATCCATTGACTTAAAGCATAGTGTTGGTGATATTCTTTCTTTTTCTAAAATCCCATAGAAAGACAAAAACAAGTCCTGTGTGTGTCTCACAGCCTGATGTCTCTTCTTCCTCTGAGCCACACACCTCCATTGTTGTCCAGAAACTATTAAAAACCCATCAGTGAGCCTCACTGCTGCACTGGGTGACACGTTCCATCATCACCGAGAACACACACTGAAGTTTTTTCTGACCACAAACAGGAGCACCACATGTGGATTCATCCACTGATGAAAATAGTCCACAACAAATGCACTATTTCCTCCTGTTTGTTACATAAAAATACGTATAGGAAGATATCATATATAAAGACAATATTTTGCTATTCTATGAGTTTTTTGTTTTAACATTAATCTAAAGAAATTACTTTTTGGATATTTAAGATCAAAAAGAAGCTGAAGATGGTTTATGTGGTTTTTCAATAAAAACAAAAATCTGTGACATTGTGCTCTGCATGGTTGCCGGTGATGGTAAATAATAAGGGCTGAGAAATACTGAAACCGCCTTTCACTTGGCATATCTTTTGCTATATGAGTAATCCCTTTAGGACTTCCTTTAATAGGTCAAAAGTTTCCACATGCACATATCTTCAGATTTTTGAAGTAATTACGCATATGATCAGTTGATCACACAGTTGTTGAAATGTTTGGCTCACTGTGTGGGATGCATCCCCTTTTGTCCTCATTTTAGCATCTCGTCAGACATGCAAAAGTTATCTGATCACTTTCCTTTCAGACTCAGTCTAACAGTGGGTGTTAAAAAATATCATATGCTACTGCTCATCATTAGCAGCTCCCACACATTCAGCATGTGTAAAGTCACCACGCTTGACTTAGACACAGTGGTGCTAATATTAGTAAGCTCACAAAGTATCACAAAGCATTGACAAAATGCTGATGCTACTGTATAATGTACCGTAGGTTAGTACGTTAACATCTGCTCATAGCACTAATCATAATTTTGCAAGTAAATACTCACAAAACAAATTGAAAATTAGACCAGATAACTGAACTAGATGGGCTGTTAAGGGAACAAAGTGATTACAATTCATCCTTTGGGAACCATAAATGTCTGAACCAAATTTCACGGCAATCCATCCAATGGTTGTTGAGATAATTCCGTAGAAGTGAACGGACGGATCGACATCTGTAGAACCATACTGCTAGCGTGGCTAAAAACAGGGGATAAAAGAATAACTACAGGAGTACAAGAAGATGAAGAGTTCATTGTTCTTCAGCATCCATTTGTCCAAGTTCCTTGTTCATTATTCTGAATTCGATCCAGTCTGTGAATCTCACATCGTTTTTTTAAAGCACTAATGGTTCAGACTTCCCCCAAAAATGTATTTTCATACTCTCCTCATGTGTTTGATGCTAAATGTCAAAAGTCAGAGTTGTTCAGGTGGGCAAGACTTCAACGTAGTCAGAGTCAGGAACATCTAGAGGAAAATTGAGAAAAGGTCAATACACCACAATCAACAAAGACACTGCGAGAGAAGAAAACTGAAAAATATGACGTACTCTCATAGTCAGGCTCTTCTTCACGTAAAGGTATCTCTTCCCTCTGTGGCTCTACCTCAGGTGGTTTCCTGGGCTGGATTAACAAGGCTGTCTTCCTTTTAACTGAGTGGCGCAGATGGATGGCCAGTCCCTGGTTCTTCCTTTTATAGTGACGGATCAGATCTTCCAAAGACTTAAAAAATGTCTCCTCCAACCCTCCTGCTGTCTGAAGAAATAACAGCATACCGTAAATTGATTTTAATATAAATATTTGTTTGGAATGCAATACTAATATTAGGAAAGTCTGGCATTAAATTTAATTTTAATCAAACTAGGGCTACTATAAACTAACACTTACAGTCATTATCAATTAATCCGCCAATTATTTTCATAATTATCCCATTGGTTTTTTGTTTAGAAAATGTCAGAAAATGAATAAATTGCTTGCAAAATGACAAAAAATTAAGCAAGTATCAACACAGCTAATTAACTAATTGTTTTACCTCTAAATCTAAAAACAAAATGTAGAAAGGAGTAATTTCACAACATGGACAAAAAGGGGAAAATAAAGAGCCCGAATCAATGTTTACAAAATCAGGGAGGCCAAGTTTCATGTCTTTGAAGATCTTCATCACCTCAGAATAACACATTAATACATTGTTCCGATCAAAATGTAAATTGTCTCTAAAGCAGCCTGACTATCAGTGTGTAGTTCCATTTCACTAAAAAAAACTCTGGAAAGGTCAGATTCAACACTTTACTATTTGCAATTAGCTTCTCTGCAGATTTGACGCTTCATGCTCTGAGTGGAGTGGAAAACAACGTCAGAGGAGTTTCCTGTGACACGGGCTTGATCAGATAAACAGCTGAGTTTCCACTTAGGGGGTGAATTGTTCCTTTAAAGACTGCGGTATCTGTTAATGAGTTTAAATGTTATGAACAAAGCAAAGTATACAGTATCTCACAAAAGTGAGTACACCCGTCGCATGTTTGTAAATATTTGTTTATATCTTTTCATGTGACAACACTGACGAAATGACTGCAATGTGAAGTAGTGAGTGTACAGCTTGTAAATGTGCTGCCCCCTCAAAATAACACATCACACAGCCATTAATGTCTAAACCGCTGGCAACAAAAGTGAGGACACCCTTAAGTGAAACTGCACCAACACCAGAGCTTCACATGTTGCCACTGGAGTCCTCTTTCACTCCTCCATGACGACGTCACAGAGCTGGTGGACGGTAGAGACCTTGCGCTCCTCCACTTTCCATTTGAGGATGCCCCACAGATACTCAATAGGGTTTAGCAATGTGGTATTTCTTCAGTGTTGTCACATGAAAAGATATGATCAAATATTTACAAACATGTGAGGGGTGTACTCACTTTTGTGTGACACTGTATGTTGGAAATACAAATGCTGTGGAGCAACATAAACACAGCTAATATAAAGCCACTATCGAGACCGAGACCGAGTCAAGACCAAGACCAGTTCCCAGCATTGCATGGCATGCAATAAAATGTGGAATGAGATCGTAGGTATTCCTCAAACTGATCTGAAAGATCCACATTCCCATTAAAACACCCACATACAAAAAGTGCTGAAATCAACGTAAGCATCGCAGGGAGGGGTGACTAATTAGGGTTATTGGTTGCATTTGAAGCAATGAGTTTTACTTCCAATCAAAGTTAGGATGTTAACAAATCAGACAATGCAAAAGCAATTTATTGATATTCCCAAAGTTATGGTCTTGACTGGTCTTCAAATAAAATCCCGAGTCCTCAATGTCCGAGACCGAGACAAGACCGAGTACAAATGAGGTCAAGACCAAGATAAGACCAAGACCGGCCGGTCTTATGACCAAGACCAGTCTCGAGTACTACAATACTACCAGATGTTATGAACTTGCTGATTGATGTTTATGTTTAAAAATATGTGCATTTCGATGTGTGTCCATGTGCCTTAAAGGGACAGTAAAAGTATTAGCTTACTGTCTATTGTCGACCAATTATCTGACTTATTTTGAGAAGGAGGCAGGTGATCTAAGGTTATTTCTTTTTATGTTTATGTTTATTACCTTTGGTTTGTGTTAGGGATGTAACACTAAAGTCACCTAAAATATATAATATATATAGTGACTGTGTGTGTTTGCTGCCAGTAGTAGCAGCTAGTGTCGGTGCATGTGTAGTGTCTCTGTCAGGTTTGTCTCCATTCAGTAGCAAAGTGTGACATTTCACACTTAGTTTGGTTTTTGACTGTCAGGCTGCCACTGAGAACACTGAGGTCATATCCTCAGTATTGTTTTGCAACACGGAGATACTGACAAACTGTACATCAAACTGGTCAGTGAAAACATGTCAAACTAAAAAGTTTTGTCGAAGTAAAATATAATCTAAACTTTAAATTATTTTCTGATTTAAATGAGAAAACATCTAATGAAAGAATAAATAAAGAACCACACAAAATATTTGACACCAACTTTCAATACTTGACATTTTGCGGTACTTGATGCTGCAGACGAACGTACAGATGTTTTATATCCAGCAAGGACTCAGTATTTCTCATAATTTAACTAATGTATGTTTTATGTTTTTAGGTATTCTATTTATTACTTGGTTGATGTGTTTTAACTACTGTTGTAGTAGCAACATATTGCCCCTCGGGGACAATAAAGGCTATCAAATCAAATCCCTGGCAGTGTACAGAGGGCTTGGAAACAGCATTTATACCTTCGTGTTTGGGAGTTTACAGAAAACACAGTTAACTAAATTAAAATACTTAATTACACATGGACGTGGCTCTAGTGTTTATGTACAGTGTGTGTGTGTTTACCATGAGAGTATATTGTCCAGTGTGTGATTGCAGCAGTCTGTAGGTATACACCACACTTTGTTTACTGCAAAGAAAAACAAGATACATATTGTCTATTCATAATATTTGCAGAAGTGTAACCATGAAGTCCAGGATGACGAAGCATCCGTGCAGCTTCTGAACAACATGCCCTAACAACATGACAGAAACCATTACAAACATGGCGTGGTCACATAACTCACACGCACATAGTTTGAATGCTTCCAGTGTCATTAACACCTGAAGGAAAGGCATGTTTCTTTTATCGGAAGGGCCATTTAAAAGCATATTTCTATTTTAAATATTTGCTGTGGTTGGTGCATTTACTTTTTGTACCACACACATGAAATGGAAATTTCCTAAGTGGCAGAAACAGCAGCCAACCACTATGCACTGTCACTAGACCACAACAAATGTTAGGTTAAGCCTGCACAAGTACAGTAATAATATGCATAAATAAATGTCTGTATCTTTGCCCATCATGTTCCAAAGTGACAGCAAGCAAAACAATATGTACAAACTGAAGCTAAGAACAGACAATACTTTGTTCCTGCTATATTTAAAAACAAGTTGGATTAACTAAACTTTGTTGGAGTGTATGTATAGCCTATATATTTAATAATTGTGATATAATATGAACTTAGACTAACATTCTTACAAACCTCTTTAAATATAACATTTGAGTATATTTTATTTAAAAAAAACATTATTGATAATCTATATTTCTTTCAAAACATGAAAAGTTTAAATTAATCTAAACATTCCACAAAACAAAAACAAAACATTTCTTAGAAAAGTAAAATCTGTTGAAATAAAATTAAGAATAAACAGAACATTGAATTAAAATATAACCTGAGAATAATAATAATATTAATACTAAAACCATGAGCAACACTAGTACCGATGCAATATTTTTACCTAAATAAAATAAAAATGAAGTACTATAAAATGCACTCCTACTACAAATTCTACTATATTAGAGTACTGGGGTATTACTAGCTCTGGTGGCAGATGTAAAACATCAAAAAGAGGGTACTCACTAAACACAAAGACACATGGCTCCATGGATGGTCTCGCTGTCTCGGATCAGGTAGGCTCCATCCTTGTTCTTCTTTCCCAGCAGATCCTCACACTCCTTTTTGCTGATGGCGCCATGGTAGTACACCGGCAGAGCTGATGCCATGGCGAAGAGAGACGTCCACCACACTGTCTCACCACCTTCTGCTTTCTCAGAACAGCTTCATGTCTATAAACAGCAGCACTGCGTTCCCTTTGAGATTTAAAACTGCTGCCGTTGATTTCCAGATCTGGTGCTGATGGCTGACTTTGTTCCCTGAAGTCTGGTGTGTGTCTGCATCAAAGAGGGTAAAATAAAGCAGGGAGAGGTCAGTGTCAACACATCAGCAGAGAGTAAACTACTGAAGATGGAAGACAACCACTGAGTTGGCCTGACAGTTTCACAGGAAGTGTGTGTGTGAGAGAGAGAGAGAAAAAATAGGCACAATACCACAAGAAAGTTTATTTGTAGAGCACCATCTCCTACAGACACAGTTCAAAGTATGACAAAACAACCCCCCCAAAAAACTATTAAAAGTTAACATGGGAAACAAAATTGTGCAAACTTCAAATCAGCAGACTTTGCAGGTTGCGATGCATGCATTTCTCCAGGTTTTGATTAAACTCTGGGCCTCTGGATAAAAAATCTGTCATGTGAGTCGTGTTAGAGATTTTATTATATTTTATTTACCTTTGAGTATCTTTACGTTGTTATCTATTAAAAGAGAAATAATGGGTGTTGGCATTAAGGTTTAATGAATGAGAAACTACACACTTTTTTATTCTTGATGCCATTTGATTGATTAATATATCAACAAAATGCACATTATGAATGAGCCTGTATGTGGGGGTCCACGCAAAGGTCTATGGTTAACCCTTAAATAGGATAAGTTACACACTTTACTTACTGTCTTACTGTACTTACTGTTACTTTTTAGATGTATTTACATGATAAATGTCAGTGGCCCAGAAAAGAGCAGCCAAAACAAACAGAGAAGAATAAAATCATAGGGAGGCAATGGCCAAATCTCTGGTCAGACAATTTGTTCAGAAGCACCGTGTAAGGTGAAGGTGAGGAGCAAACAGGCAGACTAGTAAAACTTTAGCTTGCTTAACCTTTAAATAATGTAACAGCAGAGCTGCTAAGTCTCAGGCGCTGAAAGTGGCACTCACGCAGACAATGTTCACACGCTCTCACGCCACACATCGATTTACTCACGCAGTGAAAAACACATGAATTACTGATAACAATCAGCGTGAACCTTGATAACAATCAGCGTGAACCCGAGTTCAGGGCGAGAGAACCCCACCCAGCTGATGCGATGCGACCTCGCGCGGTGAGTCGCGTTAACTATCTGAAAGAGTTTTGCAAAATAACATCTAAAATCTGAGGCGCAGAGTTGCTCTGTTTAGGACTGTGAACATTTGTGTGGATTTGTGGTGATATTTCTGTCTGATCCAAAGTGTTTCAAATAATAATCCAACGAAGGTTAAAGTCAAGGGCAACTGGACTTGGTTGAAGATCAAATAAGTTTCGTTTATCCACCTCCTCTCATCCAGGACAGTCCCAAACGGTTCTGTGTCTGCAGACGGTGTCTGCAAGGGCCAAATCAGCAGAGCAACATCGCAGGCTTATGCACAGCGGAGTATAGGGCAGGTACTGTTTTATGAATTCTCGTAAATGATGACGTTGTTCTCGTTATAGTAGGCTACGACTTTTTTTTTTCTGCACCTGTCAGAGAACACAGAGAGATTATGTGGGAGAGATTCTGAATGTGCTTAAAGTTTTGAACATGAGCAGAAACCTTTAGAAACTGAATTAAAATGATTTAATATCATTGAGGTGAGCCCTGCGATGGACTGGCGACCTGTCCAGGATGTACCCCGCCTTGTCGCCCCGATGTCAGCTGGGATTGGCTCCAGCCCCCCAGGGACCCTGCATGCAGGATAAGCGCTTGACGATGGATGGATAATTGAGGTGAGTAAAGGTGCCACAGTCATATTTAAGAAGCTACTTCCCAAAACAAAGGAAAAAACATGAAAAAAAAAACATGAAAATATTTGAATACACATTAAATGTGTATTCAAATATTAATATATTCATTTGTTAAGTTCTGTGTGTGCAGCTTGAAGGGACAACAAACTTTTGTTTCATTATACAGCAACCTTGTGGTGTATAATGACAAATAAACAACCTTGTAAAAGTTTAACTACAGGTGAAAATATATCTATATCTAAAAGCAACAAAAAGTGCCTGAGAGCTTTACTGTATTATAGTGTATTATATTTGGAATCATCACCTGCCACCTGAATTTTGTGTTTGCCTTTATATGAATAAAGATTAGTAACTCCCAAAAGTTCTCCTGCCTCAAGAAAACTGACCCACAGTAATAGTAATAGTCATAGTCAGCTGCACATCACAGGTCAAAGGATACAGCTGCAAATATGGTCACAGTATAATAAGCTATACATGTGGTAAACCTCTGTTTATATTATGATCATCATTTCAGCTGACGCCACAATATACTTATAGCCCTATACATGTTACAGTTTTGTACATATTTTGACCTAATGTCGTCCTCAAGATTGAATTTGATAGATGAAGTATGTGCATTTGTTTTGAGTACAGGGTCACAGAAGGGCTGGAGCCAATCCCAGTTTACATCGGGTCAAAGGCGAGGTACACCCTGGACAGGTCGCCAGTTCATCGCAGGGCCACACATAGACGAACAACCACGCGCACCTAAGGACAATTTAGAGCCACCAAATTAACATAGTCCTTCTGTCTTTGGATGGTAGGAGGAAGCCAGAGCAACCGGAGAGAACCCACGCACACACGGGGAGAACATGCACACAGAAAGGCCGGGACGACCGGGGAATCTCACCCCATTGGAGGGGAGGCGTCTTCCCCCTTTATGGTTGATCGTTTGTAAGTTAGATGTTATTTAGACACTGGACAGTTTATGTTTTTATTACTTAGAATGAGACATTTCTATCTACATACACCGCTGGTCCTCTTACATGGACGTTGCCATGCTGCGTCGACATGTTTCTACAGTAGGCCAAACGGCCAAAGCCTCCACAGAGCGTGTTTTGTCATTACGTTGAGTATGTACGAAGAAGAAAAAGAAGTAACGTTTGTAGTACTAGTAGTAGTAGTCGACCAGTCGCCATGTTTCTACAGTAGGCCAAATGGCCAAAGCCTCCACAGAGCGTGTTTTGTCATTACGTTGAGTACACTGAAAAAAATCATAGACCCATTTAGTTATGTGAACTTACTTCTTCTTTTCAACTCAAATAGCTCTGACAAGTTTTGGATTTTGAACTCAACTGCACGAGTTTTAGAAAGTTAAACTTGCATTAATTCATTGTGTTGACTATTTGACACTTTTGTCGTGTTGATTTAACTTACGTATGTAAGTTATCAGTTGAAAAAAAAGGCGAGGTGTGAGGATTGGAGCTAGAGAAAAAAAAGCCTAGGTGCTGCGTCTTTTGAGTTTGAGAAAAACAAAGACATAATCAACCAATTATTAGGGTTTAGCGTGTACTCAGTTAAAACGAGTATCTGGTACAGATACTTTTATGAGTATCATCAGAGTAAAATGTGTCAATATCTGTTTTGTTATAAACTATAAATATAACCTTTTTTTTTATCAAAAACATTGCGCTGAAGCTCAATTCTGAGGCTGTTCTGTAAATAGTTTTCTAATATAGCAAGTTCTGATACAAATTTCAGGCTTAAATAACTTCCAGTTAACCCCGCCCATTTATAGGTTAAGCCCCGCCCATTCTGAGTACAGATACAGGAAATTTAAATTGTTTAACAGATACAGATATAGATAGTGGTGTTTTTGCTCACCCCTGCTAATTATACACTGCAGATAAGTCATATATTCAAACTCAAACCAAAATACAACGGTCTTAAGGCCCTTTCAGAAAGGAGGTGACAAGTGCTGCTATTTTGATCTTTGACTGCGGCCTGCACAGGCACACCAGCAAGCTACCCTGCCCTGTTGCAAGTCACTTAAGATAATATTACAGTGTTGCTGTTGTTGGGGTCTATTCTCACTATGAGTTAGAATAACTCAAACTTGCAAAGAATTCATTTAACTAAAAAAACAACATTGACACAACTAGAACACTGTAGTTATATCAACTTTATAAAGTTGAATTTATGAGTTGAAACCAAGGCAATATTCAAGTGGAGTTAACTTGAAATGTCTTAAATTTAGTTATCTGAACTTAAAAATGTGAGTTGAAAGGGTGTAGAATTGTATGTTTGTTTGACAAGATAAAGCAAGTTTCCTTGAGTGGACAATGTAATATAGATACTTGTTTTAACTGACAGTTTTAAGTTCAAACAATAAATGATCATTAATTAAACAAATTGTATAACATAACATCATGAGTTGAAACAAAGCTTTTCTTAAAGTTGAGTTTACTCAAATTTTTAAGGCAGCAATTGAACTTATGTTTTAAAGCTGAACCACCTAGATAATCTTTACAGTGTAACGTTTGTAATTCTAGTAGTAGTAGTCGACCAGTTTATTAGAAGTAAGAAAATAAGAGAAATTTGGACAAATGTATGTATTATTTAGCACAAGAGCCAACACAGTGTGTCAGCCACCGTAGCGTCTCCTGTGGCTTGGAAAGGGAGTGGTTTGCGGTGACTGATGCATTCATGTGGTAATAATCAGAATCTTTTTTTTTTCTCCTTAAATCTTTACTGCAAAATAAAGCGTACACGGGCCATGAAGAAGTATACAGAACTTTCATTTGTGCAAAATCAGGTATTGCATATATACATATTTTGCAAACTTATAATTTGTAATAAGGTTTAAACGGTTAGTTTTCTGTCCATGTAGAGTGAACTAGCTGTCTGCGTGTTGTTTATACAATCTGATAATGTTAATCCAACACATCTTTGTAGGATAAATATATATAAATTTAACACAATTAGATTTTATCTACAGCTTACTTTAAATGACAACAAAATAGATCAACTTATGTCAGAATTATATGGTGGAAAACACAAAATTCAGGCAGCAGGTGACAATTCAAATATACAAAAAAATTAATAGAATATAATGCAGTAAGGTTTTCAGGCATTCTGTAGCTATTGCTTTTAAATAGCCTGTGTTTCTCCTGTAGATCAACTTTTCTAATTTAAAAGCACACACATGCACACATCCTCTTTTGTGTCTTTTATTTGGGGATGTATGTGCATGTGACACCTTTCTACCTCAAATAAAGTAATTTTAATTTAAGTTATTTATTCCAGTACTTTGATAGCTGCTGTGTTTCAGCAGGTTTTCTGCTCATGTTCAAAACTTTCTGCACATTCAGAATCTCTCCCACACATCTTAATTCT